GAGGAGTCGCCCCCTGGTGGACACTAGAGAGAAGGCAGCTTTAAGACGTGAAGCATCGGCTTGCCTCCTGGTTGCAGGAAGAGTTTGTATTTTCGGAGCAATAAGCATTTGTTTTCAGGATGGAGGGCTGTCTCCAATGAGACATTTTATGGATTATTGGGGTTTAGGAATAATGGGCCGTCCCCGGAGCTGATGAGCTAACCATTAACTCACTAGCCAGCCAAACTTGCCGAGTTCATCAGGACCGTGTGGGTGTGGTTTGATCAGATTGGATTGACAGAACTGACAACACCAGCAAACAACCCAATGACAGTCATCAGTCTGTTTCAAATGCTTGCCGAATCCTGATTGGTGCTCAGATGTACGTGCCATCACATCGTTTTAACTGAGCCCCGCCCACTTCCAACCAGTCGGGGGAGCACAGACAAAACGGCACAGACGGATATCGCTCACTCTGAATAAATTAAAAACCATTCTACCTTTGGCAGAACATGTTCTGGTCATATAGGACCATGTTGCTGATAATAAGAAGCTGATTCGGGGCCTTTAATTAAGATTGAATCCAGACGGATTATTGTGCCGTCATCGACTCGGAAGTCGATCAAAATGCAGCAGCTATAATTTTCCTAAATAAACACCAGGATTGTTTTTCTGGTTGCACCGGCTGCCTAGTCAGGCTGGAGTCTTCATGACCCTCTTTTTATTTGATGCATCTTATTTAAATAATCCAAGAATAAACAGGAAATCAGTGAGTTTTCTCAGAGCGGGCTCCTTATCTTGGGATTGCTCTTCTTCTGTTCATCAGGACAGCGAACTCATTCCTGTTTCTACGTTCAGACTTCACATGTGACTGAACCAACAAACACACTGAATCATGTTTCAGAGGCAGCCCTGTGTCATTGCTGTCATGTACTTGTACACATGAATACAGTGTATGTGTTTGTGCATATGTGTAATTGTATTGTAATACAAAAAGATAATTGTAATGTGTATTGTACATGTGGATGTCTTATCCTTATATCTGTTGATAATGTACTTTGCATTTCTGTGTGTATATATAATGTAAACATCTGATATACATTGATGTTGTTTTACTTCTGATACTCATTTTCTTTACTTTTTTTTGTTAAAGGTATACTTTGACACTTTTGAGATTTGAAAGAGACGATCGATACCACGCTTCATATTCGTGACGACCGTCGCCTTTCAAACTCTACATTTTGTTTGTTTGATCCGTACAAAACACACAATCGTGTCTGTACATTTTTAAATGTTCCAGAGATCCACAGTTATGAAATTCACTGAATGTGACGCTGAAATCATTTTCTCCATTTCCAGGTTTGAGGACACAGTTAAAGAAATTCATCCTTTCATCTTGAAGCGTGTGAGATCTGCTTGTCGAACATATCAACTTCGTCTACGTTTCTTTTTCTGTTTTCTTCCTTTCACGACTGTTTGCGTCTATAGATATTCTTTGCGTATGAGCTCTTTGTGTGTTTGTTGTTTGCTTGTTTTGCTTTGTTTTTGATGAGTTATGATGTAAATTCTTTATTTTTTTAAATAGAGGAGGACTCTGAATAAACATTCAGGCTTCTTTCCTTTTGCTCCACCATCTGTTCTTTTATATTTTAGGTATTTTATATTTTCATTTTTGAGCAAAACTAACTAACTAATTTGTAAAGATCAAGACTGTTTGTACAAAATTGTACGACAATCCATTCAGTCGACATTCAGACCCGACCACAGTGGAGGACTGAGTGATATTGCCGCTAGCATTAATTAATAGTAATCTTAATAATTTAATATCAACGTACCATATTTTCATGGATCCTGGAACGATCAACGATGCTCTGTACCCCGACGTTGGAATAGTAGCTGTAAGCAACGTCCAAGTCTCTTGGAAACCCATCAATTCCTTGTTGGTGCTTGTACCCAGCATGCATCAGGGCGAAACGGTTATCGCCCAATGCGCCAATCAAACTGTAGACATGACCCTGAAACACAGGCGACAATACTATCTGTCATCGTTACAGAAGCAATGTGAAAGAGGGTCAATCAAAGGTACAGGGTCTGGCATTTAGGGCGATCTATTGACAGAAATGGAGTATAATATGAATTAGTAAGTTTTCTTTCGTGCATAATAACCCGAAAATAAGAATTGTTGTGTTTTCATTATGTTAGAATGAGCTGTCTATGGGTACATCCCAAGTCTCTTAATTCTCATTTCCTCGCTCCTCGATCCTCGCTTGAACCGGAAGTTGTTCTGCGCCGCCATATAGACGGCCGTCCCAAAGCTCTTATTTCTGCTCTGAGGAGCGAGGATGGAGGAGAGAGGAGGGATCTCTGAGGAGCCATGAGAACAGACTTCCAGGAAGTGTTTTAACGGCCGACACGCCCCCTCATTGTTCATCAGTCATGTGATCGGACTGATGAGATTGTGTTCAACATGTAAACAGTGAAGACGATCACAGATTAAACTCAAACTTTATATTTGATTCGTTTTCTGATTTAACATCTGGTTTAAATAAATGTTCAGTGTAGACTGAACAACAAAAGGACCACAAACAACTTTCTGCATTTATTAGAAAGATTTGTGTTTTCATGATCTGAACTTTTATTATGGAAACAATTAAAGTCAGAGGGAACTAGAGAGACGAAACACTTATATATCTATATATATATATATATATATATATATATATAGAGAGAGAGAGAGAGAGAGAGAGCTGGAGAGACGAAACACTTTTTACATCATTTCATTCCTGATTGTCGTGTTTGATGAGTTTTATCATTTAAGAGAAACAATAATCATATTCTGGGTTATTTAATAATGACGTCACAGTCACAATTTCTAAACGTACAGACGCAAATAATTCATAAATAAGACGATCGCATTCCGCCGGTAGAAATGGATCCTGTGCTTATAAACAGAACACAGGACACAGTTTAACAGACTACAGAGAGAAACACCTCTACAGTGGTGATTACTGTGTGTCTTTATTAGTTATTAGTGTTATTAGTTACTGTTATTAAGTACAGTGGTGATCACTGTGTGTCTTTATGAGTTATTAGTGTTATTAGTTACTGTTATTAAGTACAGTGATCATGTGAACACACAAACTTATCAAAAGTCTCTCCAGCTGTTAAAGCCGACTGACAGCTGATCCAGCTGTGATCAGCTGATCCTCCGTCATCAGGAACAGACGTTGCTTCAAGTGACGCAACTGAGGAAATGACGTCTCATGTCTCTTAAAACATAATTCCTCGTTCCTCTCTCCTCGCATGGTTTCCTCCATGCATCCCTGGTGGGAGGGACTAAGACGCAAGGAAAGGACGCAAGTGAGGGAAACGGGGACGACATTAAGAGACTTGGGATGTACCCTTTACCTACATGGAGTGGGTCCACAGTGTTTCTACAGTGGCCCAGAAAGGACAAACCAAAAACTGTCTTTAGATTAAGTCTGCGGTCGGTTGCAATCTGCAGCTTCACCACTAGATGCCGCCATATCCTGAACGCCGACCCTTTAATGTAGAAGGAAGGCTGTGACTCTACCTGTTGTTGATCGACTGGGTGGCCGAGGCCGGAGAAGAAAACAGCGGCCAACAAGAGAGACGCTTTGTGATTTCTAATGCAGGAGGATATTTGGAGTAGAGCCGTTGATCCGAACTTGACTTTATTTTGTTCCTGATCCACAGTGAACATTGTACCAACTGCCTGATCAAACAAAACACTCCTGAGCTCCTTCATGCTCAAAGATCCTACAGAGAATGATGCAGAAACATAGTCAAGAACTGTGAATAATGACGTGATAAATGTAACTAAACAGTGCAACAATCCAACACACCTGTTCTGATGTTCTCCTTTTTTGTTTGCAATAAATGAAAAAGTGTGCTGTGTTTAAGTTGTTCTTCCCACGTCCATGTTTGCGTGCACACTTTCTCTCTGGACGGACCTCGAAGTCTTGTGAAGTAAGGAGTACACGCACCTAAAACATAAAAGCAACCTGTCAGCAGGAGTCCTTAACTTAAGTACTTAGAGTTATTACAAGGAACTTTCATTTAGTGTTGGTTCGGTCGCCCCCTGTGGACTAAAGTGGTAGTGTCTCTGAGCACCAGAGTCTCTTTAGAAAATCTCTCATTCTACTGCAGCAGGGTCTGACAGTCTGCCCCTCTCAGTCCTGGTTCTGGTTCTCCCGTGACTCCCTTCCCTCCAGTGGGTCCAGCAATACGTCCTGGGTCTCCAGCAGCGTGGTGTCGGCGTTGGCTCCCAGAGAGGAGAAGCTCTGCTCCTGGAGGAGGAGGAGGAGGAGGAGGAGGAGGAGGAGGAGCGGACCGGTCTCTGCTGGAGGATCTGGGTCTGTCCACGGTGGACCGGT